CGCATGGGGGGCCGCAAACTAGATCTTCCTCGAAATTCGAAACCTGCGCGGCGCCTTAGCATGCCTCCTCAATTGGGTATGCTGCCTCTTAATGTTGGACATGCTTGACCCGAGTAGTGGACCTGGCCCGGCGTTTCCCACAGCTCAGACCGACGCATACGCAGGTCAAGTATCGGGCACATTGCACCTCCACTCCCCGACGCCGTAGCTCACGAACAGTGGCCTTGGCGCCCTGCATGGGCGAGCATGCGTTGGCTTTCTCGGGTGCGAGCTGCAAACCCGCATCCTCGAGCACGTCGCGCACTGCTGCGACCCCCTCGACGAGAGACTCGCGCACAAACTGACTCGAACCAACCACTGTCTGAAACAAATCACCCATCCACGAACGCGGGCCACAGTGAGGCGCTTCAAGACCAGACAGGCGACACAACGCGCGAAGCGCGTGCCAGAGCGCAAACCCTGAACGATGCTCCTCGGGGCCTGGAAGGGCAGTGACTCCGCGTCGCCTTGGTCCAGCATCCGCGGAGCTTCACATATCTGTAGTTCTATGCCCAACATCGCAGCTGGGAGCCCGTATCTGAAGTGCAGGAACAACGCCGATCCGCAACTGTGCCCCCTGCCTCGAAGGGGCGCTCTAGAAACTCAAATGCAAACGCACGCACACGCACGCACGCACGCACGCACGCACGCACACACACACACACACACCGAATAAGAATAATTATATATACACTTATATATATCTCAAAAACAACAACAACAACAACAACAACAACAACAACAACAACAACAACAACAGCAACAGTAACAGCAACAACAACAACAACAACAGCAGCAGCAACAACAACAACAACAACAACAACAACAACAACAACAACAACAACAATCACTTAAGACTGGGGACACTCCGTTCTCACCAGTGCCAGGGTTTTCATAGGAGGCGGGCAATACCCCCACTTTGTGGGGGGGCCGGTTCAAGCTCTACCAAATTTCCAAACGACTCTTCGCCACCACCCACACCCAGCTTCCCGCCCTATGACGTTCGGACACTTCACTTCGTGGCATGCGGACGACCGTGGCTACTATTCAGGGCCCCGCGGCCGACGACGACGGCGTGCGCGCGCGAAGAAAAAACGAATGTGTCCCGCATGGTATTATTTGACAGGGATGATGGCCCTGGCAGGTGCGCAACCGTTGTCGCAGAAGTTCGAAAAAGTTGCTCGCAAAAGCCCGTTTGACAGAAATGTTTAAAAAGTGTTGGGTTTCCTACGAATCCGCAAGAGCGCGCGGGATGAGATTTTGACATTTTTTGTTGAAAAACCATTGGTTTTTTGATGTTTTTATGTTAAAATCGCTTCCGAACACTAAGCTTTTGGAAGGATTTCGTCTTGCGCGCGCGAATGTCCACTTTACCTTATTTTTTGCAAGGGATTCTTGAAATTTGATTATATTAGAACAAGAAATGTCATTTTATAGTGTTTTTTGCAAGGGAAAACGGATTACAACAAAACAACCGGATCTGGATCACATCGTTTTACCTGAGGCTTCCTCACGAAAATGATGAAAATGTAGCTGCGGCCTAGGCGGCGCAGGGGGGGCGTGCACCAGGGGGCCCAACAATAATTATTCTTTAGAATAAATAATGTTCAACAACAACAACAACAACAACAACAACAACAACAACAACAACAACAACAACAACAACAACAACAACAACAAAAAGGGGGGGGGGCCGCCTCTCCGAGCTGACTGCCGCGCGCGCCGCCCCCCCCCTCCCGAAGCCACGACCCGGGCAAGCAACAGTGGGCCCCCGCCCCCGAGGCCGCTTCACAGGCAGTCTCGAGCGCCAAGATGCCTCGGGCCCAAAAGATAAAGATTGCCTCAAGACGGCCCAACACGCTCCAGAAGGGCTTACACAGGACCATGAGAGGAACCACAGTAGGGCCCAACGAGGCCAAGCAACTCGGGGGGGCAATGAATGCCGAGCAGCGCCCAAAGACGCTCGGAGGAGGGAGAGAGACGCCTCATCCCCACACCAACACCACCACACCGCTGCCCAAGACGCATGGGACGTGGAGCCGCGCGGTCGCCATCTGGTCTCCTGCAGACTAGACGCTGGCCCCGACGGCGCCCAGGGCTAGCGGGGCCGACGGCCACGCAGAGGGCGCAGGGGCCCCCTGCGTTCTTGGCACGGTCTTCTTACTGTTCCAAGGCGTCGCCCAGCTCCAAGAAGAGATGGGCGCCGGTCCTCGCGGCCAAACGCCAGCTGGAAGAAACGGGCAACTGCGCCAGGGGCCCAGGCCACGCGCGCCGCCCAGCTGTCTCCGCGCTCGCGACAACCTCAATCTGCTGAACGCCCGGCCCGCACAATTGCAGCCAATGACGGCATCACCTGGCCAACCACCCGCGCCCCCCAGCGGTCTGACACGAAACGCACTAACGAATTCTTTCCTGGCGGCCACGCCCGGCAGGGAGGCCAGTCCACAAGGAAGCTTCCACGAGAAACCCCACCCTGAGACCACAGGGAGCCCATGAGATCTTGGCGTGGGAAGGTCGCGCGTTCCATGGGAAGACCATCGACGCCCAAGGAACCCAAGGCACCCTGGAGGCAAGCAGGGCGTTCTTGGGCATCAGTCTCCACTGCACTCCCTATACAACACGTGAAGAACGAACTGAGTCTGGCCCATACACCATTCTCAGCAACTTCCATGGGTCGGGAGGCCAGCTGGGAGCTTACTCAAAATCCTCAGGTGGCTGAGGGAACGGGCCACAAGGGGAAGCCGCGGGGAAAAGAGGGTGACGACGGAAGGCGAGGGCACGGAGGGAAGCGGACTGAGGGTGAGCCTCAGGGGTACGGCGCCATGGGCCGCCAAGCCCGAATCGTCCATTATCTTCATGCTGTCAGTCGCTCGCGCCAAACGCGCCTCCACGAACGTGCAATCGTGCCTGCAATCCCCCGCGACCGACCGACACGCCCCCGAAATGCCCGACGGAAAACAAACCTGCGCTCCCAGACGATCGCGCGCATGAGAGGTGAACAGAACCTGAAGCTCCATGCGAGAATCTCCGCCGATCATGCGCGGCACATAGAGACCCTTGGCGCGCGATGCCACGCGCGCCAGGAAGTCCCTACTGAAATCGGTGGGACCAGCACAATCCTAGTCAGTAAGATGAACCAAAATCCCAATAGACCGACGATCATTCAAACAGAGCGCAAACAAGGGGCAGTGTAAGCCACCACGGAAGGAACACGCCAGGACCCCGACACGATAAGACGCCCCCACCATTCGAAGCCGCATGACTCGAATTTCGAACCGTCTTACTCCAATTGCCAATACACTATGCCGTCGCCTTGCGGATACCCTCCGCGCAGGTCAGCTTATGCTCCTGACACAACACGACGCTCGCCGTTAGAAGGTTTCAAACATATCGAAGCGAGCTCCATGCTGAACAGTGCGAGGTAACCAGCTCGAGCCCGATGTGGTCCCAAAATATGCTTACGGATCCAAGCGTTTACTAATCGAACGCGTGTCAACCGAGACTGGACAGAAAGCTGGGTGCATTGGGTAATTAGGGTGAGCTGGCCACAGAATTCTTACTTAGATTCCCGGGAAGCCTTTGGCGGCGCCACGCTGGACGTGAGCGGCGAGGCCAGCTTGGCAGCTGCTGCGGCAGCTTGCTCAGGGGCTCCACCACCTGAGGCTGACGAGGCGGCAGCAGATACAGGCGCACACTCAGGGACGGGAACGGCGACTCCGTCAGAAGCTGGCCCTTGTGCAAGCGGAGGTGCTGCAGCAAGAGCTCCATCGTGTCCGTGTACGTTGTTGCTTGCTGCTCTCCTACGATATTTGGCCTTGAGTCGATCGCGCTGCGCCTCCCAGGCAGCCTTGAGCAACCTTGGTTCTAATATCCTCGAAGAGCTTGGTACAACATTAATCGGTCTGACTAGCCATTTCCTCCTTTCGGCGGCAAGGTTCCTCGAGGTCCGACGCGGTGACGTCCACGTACTCCGCCACCGCCCAGAGAGGTCGTCGTCCACCTCAAGACCCGTTGGGTGAAGCTTTGGAACACAAGCTGGTTAGTCAAAAGTCGCTGCTCGAGTCGACGGCTGAGGCGCTGGACACGACAACGACTGCAAGTGTGCCATCGCCGAGTTCCACTTGGGTGTGGTGCTGCTTGTGCCTGCCCACGTTCAATACCGGCCCGTTCAGGCCACTACGACCGTCAATATCACCGACATCCTTGAGGTACACTGCACGAGGATCCGTATCAAATTTCTTCCCGAGCCGAACCAAATCATTGTGGGCAAGGTCCGTACGCTGCTGCGGTGGAGCGGACGCAACCCTGAGCTCCTTGATCTGTCCGACTGACTGGGCGGAGCTAACGTACTCGATACAAGGCCGATTGAGGTCCAACGGCGACTCCAACGGCTTCACGGCAAAGTGCTGAGCCGGCACGATGGATCTGGTCGCCTGCACATGCGTGATCGAGAAGTTGGCTCCACCTTGTCTTGCGGTGTTCGCAACACGAGAAGGGGGTTGTTACTCTTGCACCCGCAATGCCAACAAGACCAGGGAGCACCGCGCCTGCTACCACAACCCTGCTGATCCTTCGCGCCCATTGCGATCACGCCCGTGAGCCTGAGTGGCCCGCTGACGCCAAGCCGTTCTGAAGTGCCAGCGGTGGCAGCAAGCTCAGCGCTGAGAGGTGGGGTGCAAACACCGCGACATCCCCTGAGCCAAAACGGCTTGAGCCAAAATGGCTACGGAGGGGTCGACGTCGTCGTCGTCGGACCGAGGTGTGAGCGCAACGCTGAACTCCCGTCGACTCTTCATGCTCGATGGAAAATAGAGAAGGAGGGGAGGAAAGGGGAAGGGGAAAGGAGGCAAAGGAGGGCAGGGAGGGGAAGGCTGGAGGGAGGAGGGGAAGGAAGAGGGAGGAAACGAGGGTGGAAAAAGTAGCCATCCCCAGGCGGCCCCCTGCGAATGCACTGGAGCCGCCTGTGCCGCTGGCGAGGCCCAGCCAGAAACGTTCGCTGTCCTTCGGGGCCGCGAAGCCCGCGGCCCGCTTCTCGGTCGCGGTCCGCAGGTCCGTGCCTGGTGGCAGGGCGGGGGCAGGAGGAAGGAGGCGACTTCGATAATGGAAATCTGCAGACACAATAACTTTCGGATGGCGCGTTCCGCACGTCAGGGAGGCGGATCCAGTGCAGATCCGAAAGATCAGCGCGGACCTCCGAACGTCTGAGGTTATGCAGTGCTTCTCTTCGAAAGGAGGCAAAAGGACGAAGGGAACTCGAGGCTCCTTATCGATGCCCGTTCATCCTATTTACTTGATCCTCCTCCTCAGTACTCGTCATGTCGAACAGGCGGGAGACTCGAGTTTGGAGGACTCAAACTTGCCTGAGGGAGCCGTCAGCAAAATTGAGACCGGAACTGGGATTTGATGCGGGCTCCTGCTACAAGCATGGCCTGGCAACTGGACCGCAAAGTGCATGCAGAGACCGCCAAAAAGAGTTGCGACAAACCCATGTTCCTGAAAACTCGAATCTAATGTTAGGTCGGGAATGTCCTCTTCAGGGGGATTTTGACACAAAAATCAAAAATAATCAAGAAATGCCCAAAACATCGTCCCAAGACTATTATTTGACTATGTTTGGATAATTGTCCTGTAGAGGGACAGGCCCGACTTAAGCCTAATGTGGCTGCACGCACAGGGGGGTAGGGAGAGGGGGAAGGCTCCGTAGGAGGCGGCTCCTTAGAAGGCGCGGGCCTTGCATCTGAAGACAAGGCCAGCGCCCTCTAAAAAGCAAGAGGGTTGTTGAGAAGCCTTCCCCCCTCCCCCTGCCCCCCTCTGCGCGTGGCCTACGACTTCTGGACGACTCGAACCTAACGGCTCCGCGATCGTTCATTGTCCTTCCCTCCTGCGGTGGGGGCATCGGCCACACGCAAGAGTAACCCTGGGCAAGAGCGACCTTTGGTGCGCGGACTGAGGGGGCGCAGGGTGGCCTCATCCAAGCGCGCAAAAAGCCACGATCGCACTGCGCTCAGCGATCGGGGGAGGATCCCCGTGAGCCAGCACCAAAAGTCACTCCGACGAGAGGGCGTTCTTACGTGTAGCCTTAAGGTCGGGCATGTCCTCCTACAGGGGGACTTTGGACGAAAAACTATCAGTTGCCAGAAAATACTCCAAAACCATCAACAAATCAGCCTGACGAGGGACCCAACCATATGCAGGTGCGAGTGCCGCAATAGCAATCCAGTTTTTCGGTGGCGTTCCCCATGAGGCAACGAACCGTGCTAGGGGTGTGCCGACATGAATGGCGTGGTACACAACGCGAACGAAAACGATTAATCTGAGTACGTAGGGAGACTGAGCGCGGGTGAATCTGCGAGCGTGCGTCTGACTGTGAATAAATCTGCGTGCGAGCGAGTCTACGTGCATGAATGCGAATATGGCAAAGCGTAGTGCAATTGTGTATGAATGTCAATAGTTTGACAACGACTGCCTCTGACTACTCGTGACGCTGGGCGTGGCCGCCGCAAGGAGCTTCCCCGGGACTCCCCGACGGCATCGCCCGCGCGCCGCGACGCCAATGTCGGCGCGCCCCCCCGCGAGGATCGCGCCCGCTTCCTCCCCTTCCTTTACTCCCTCTTTGCCCGCGCACTCCAAAGTCCAAGGCTGCGGGCGCACCGCAGCGCGGAGTCCCCGCGACGCGCGGTCGCCCCGGAGGGGTCCCAGCGACGCGCGCGGGTCGCGGAGCAAAGAGAGCTAGCTGGCTGGCTGATAGCGGGCAAGGCTCTTGCCGCTGGGCCGAGCGACGACGGGCGAGCAGCACGGAGCCCCGGCGATGCGCGCAGGTCGCCCCGGAGGGGTCCCAGCGACGCGCGCGGGTCGCCCGCTGCGCGGAGCAAAGAGATCTAGCTGGCTGGCTGGGACCTGCGGTGGGGCTCCATATGGGGCCACGTAACGCTGTACTGGGCAAGGGAGACGCATGCGGACTGCGCCACGGGGACCTTCTGTGGAGTTCCCTATGGGACCACGAAACGTGTGAGGGGTGTGCCGAAATGATTGGCGGGGACGCATGCGGACTGTGCCACTGGGACCTTCGGCGGAGCTCCTATGGGGCCACGAAACGTGTGAGGGGTGTGCCGAAATGAATGGCGGGGACGCATGCGGACTGCGCCACGGGGACCGTCGGTTGAGTTCCTGTGGGGCCACGAAACGTGTGAGGGGTGTGCCGAAACGAATGGCGGGAGCGCATGCGGACTGTGCCACTGGGACCTTCGGCGGAGCTCCTATGGGGCCACGAAGCGTGTGGGGGGTGTGCCGATATGAATGGCGGGAACGCATGCGGACTGTGCCACAGGGACCTTCGGCGGAGCTCCTATGAGGCCACGAAACGTGTGAGGGGTGTGCTGAAATGAATGGCGGGGACGCATGCGGACTGTGCCACCGGGACCTTCGGCGGAGCTCCTATGGGGCCACGAAACGTGTGAAGGGTGGGCCGACATGAATGGCGGAGACGCATGCGGACTGTGCCACCGGGGCCTTCGGCGGACCTCCTATGGGGCCACGAAACGAGTGAGGGGTGTGCCAAAATGAGCGGCGGGGACGCAAGCGGACTGTGCCACTGGGACCTTCGGCGGGGCTCCTGTGGAGCCACGAAACGTGTGAGGGGTGTGCCGACATGAGTGGCGGGGACGCATGCGGACTGTTCCACTGGAACCTTCGGCGGGGCCCCGATGGGGCCACGAAGCGTGTGAGGGGTGGGCCGAAATAAATGGCGGGGGCGCATGCGGACTGTGCCACTGGGACCTTCGGCAGAGCTCCTATGGGGCCACGAAATGTGTGAGGGGTGTGCCGAAATTACACACCTTCGGTGGAGCTCCCTATGGGGCCACGAAACGCGTGCGGGGTGGGCCGACATGAGTGCGCGGGACGCATGCGCACACACCCACTGAGACCTTCGGTGGAGTTCCCTATGGGGCCACGAAGCGTGTGAGGGGTGTGCCGAAATGGGTGTGCGGGACGCCTGCGGGCACACCCACTGGGACCTTCGGTGGAGCTCCCTATGGGGCCACAAAACGTATGAAGGGTGTGCCGAAATGGGTGTGCGGGACGCATGCGGGCACACCCACTGGGACCTTCGGTGGAGCTCCCTATGGGGCCACGAAACGTGTGAGGGGGTGTGCCGAAATAGGTGTGCGGGGCACATGCGGGCACACCCACTGGGACCTTCGGTGGAGCTCCCTATGGGGCCACGAAACGTGTGAGGGATGTGCCGAAATGGGTGTGCGGGACGCATGCGGGCACACCCACTGGGACCTTCGGTTGGGTTCCCTATGAGGCCGCGGAACGTGTGAGGAATGTGCCGGAATGGGTGTGCGGGACGCATGCGCGCACACCCACTGGGACCTTCGGTGGAGCTCACTGTGGGGCCACGAAACGTGTGAAGGGTGTACCGACATGGGTGTGCGGGACGCATGCGGGCACACCCACTGGGACCTTCGGTGGAGCTTCCTCTGGGGCCACGAAGCGTGTGAGGGGTGGGCCGAAATGGGCGTGCGGGACGCATGCGGGCACACCCACTGAGACCTTCGGTGGGGCTCCCTATGGGGCCACAAAGCGTGTGAGGGGTGTTCCGAAATGGGTGTGCGGGACGCATGCGGGCACACCCACTGGGACCTTCGGTGGAGCTCCCTATGGGGCCACGAAACGTATGAAGGCTGTACCAAAATGGGTGCGGGACGCATGCGGGCACACCCACTGGGACCTTCGGTGGAGCTCCCTATGGGGCCACGAAGCGTGTGAAGGGTGTGCCGAAATGTGTGTGCGGGGCGCATGCGGGCACACCCACTGGGACCTTCGGTGGAACCCCCTTATGGGGCCACGAAACGTGTGAGGGGTGGGCCGAAGTGGGTGTGCGGGACGCATGCGGGCACACCCACTGGGACCTTCGGTGGAGTTCCCTATGGGGCCACGAAACGTGTGAGGGGTGTGCCGAAAGAGGAGGCGCGGGCCACCGTCTCTTCAAAACGAGGACCCAACACCACAGGATGGTTGGGAAAAATCGAAAAGAAGTCCCCAGAGTATTTCTTGGCTAAGTTAGAATACGATTTCCCCTGTAGAAGGACAGGCCCGACTTAAGTGTAGCCGGAGGCGGGAAGGCAACGAGAAGAGGCAAAAGGCCTGCCGGGGTGGGGGGAAGAGCGAGCGCGCAGGGAGCAAGGGAAGTGCCCACCTGGGACGGCGGGGGGGGGGCAGGGGAAGAAGGGAACCCAGACATGATCGCGTAGTAAAATTAGCCCGACGAAGGACCCAACCATATGCAGGTGTGAGTGCCGCAATTGTGATCCCCTTTTTCGGTGGTGATCCCTACGGGGCAACGAACCGTGCTAGTGGTGTGCCGAAATGAATGACGCGGTACACAACGCGAACGAAAACGATTGATCTGAGTACGTAGGGAGACTGAGCGCGGGCGAATCTGAGCGCGAGTGCGTCTGACTGTGAACGAATCTGCGTGCGAGCGAGTCTACGTGCATGAATGCGAATATGACAAAGCGTAATGCAATTGTGTATGAATGTCAATAGTTTGACAACGACTGCCTCTGAGTACTCGTGACGCTGGGCGTGGCCACCGCAAGGAGCTTCCCCGGGACTCCCCGACGGCATCGCCCGCGCGCCGCGACGCCACCGCGAGGATCGTGCCCGCTTCCCCCCCTTCTTTTACTCCTTCTTTGCCCGCGCACTCAATAATCCAAAGCTGCGGGCGCAGCGCAGCGCGGAGTCCTAGCGACGCGCGCAGGTCGCCTCGGAGGGGTCCCAGCGACGCGCGCGGGTCGAAAGCTGCGCGCAGCAAAGAGGGCTAGCTGGCTGGCTGAAAGCGGGCAAGGCTCTTGCCGCTGGGCAGAGCGACGACGGGCGAGGGAGGCGCGGAACTCCGACGGCCTCCGACGGAGGTGTACTGGGTGTGGGAGACGCGTGCGGACTGCGCCACGGGGACCTTCGGTGGAGCTCCCTATGGGGCCACGAAACGCGTGAAGGGTTTACCGAAATGGGAGTGCGGGACGAATGCGGGCACACCCGCTGAAACCTT